TACTATTGTGTATGCAGTATAATGCTGTGAGTTGTAACACTACAGTACAGTAATTAACTGTACACAGTTTCCAGTTAGTTACCACTACTGCTCTATTACAGTGATTAACTGGCAACACTGTTGCCAGCTATTCACTGCAATGGTTCGGTTACAGTAAACAACTGGCAACACTGTTGCCAGCCACTCACTGTAATGGTTCAGTTTCAGTAATTAACTGGCAACACTGTTGCCAGTTACTTACTGTAACCAAACTTTTACAGTGAGTAGCTGGCAACAGTGTTGCCAGTGTTCTACTGTAAAAAAGCCTGGTAAGGTCTAACAGTGTAGGATTTCATCCTGCTAGGTTTAAACTTCAGCAAATCATCTTGACCATGTCTGAATGAATTTAGCTGCTTCCATATTATTGGCTAATACATTTTCAAGCAGTTGAACATATGCATTCAAAATTGCTGGTGAGTGTATTTAAACAAATAACAAATAGTAACTTGATTTTTAGTTGATTATTTGCAAAAGTGGCAGAAGGTTGATTTTTCTGATCAGTTATCTGTTGAACTGCATCCCAATCATCACAAATACTGCTGAAGACCTATTGGAACCCGCATGGACCCAAGACTCACACAGAAATCAGTCAAGTTTGGTGAAGGAAAAATCATGGTTTGGGGTTACATTCAGTATGGGGGCGTGCAATAGATCTGCAGAGTGGATGTCAACATCAACAGTCTGACGTATCAAAACATTTGTGCTGCCCATTACATTACAAACCACAACGCTGATCCTTATACTTCAGCCTCCACATCAAAGTTCCTGAAAGCAAAGAAGGTCAAGGTGCTCCAGGATTGGCCAGCCTGGTTACCTCAAATGAACATTATTGAGCATGTCTGGGGAAAGATGGAGGAGGAGGCATTGAAGATGAATCCAAAGAATCTTGATGAACTCTGGGAGTCCTGCAAGAATGCTTTCTTTGCCATTCCAGATGACTTTATCAATAAATTATTTGAGTCATTGCAGAGATCTTTGGATGCAGTCCTCCAAGCTCATGGGAGTCTTACACAATATTAATTGTTTTTCCACTGCAGCATGACTTTATATTCTATTCTTTACATTATTTCTGTTAAATGACAAGACTTTTGTATAAGCAAAGTCAGACCTTACTGTCTTAATTAACTAATTAAAATCAAGGCATGATCATATTTTATTTTACATATTTCATCATACATCATACATATTTTATCCACTTCTGATACCAACTGATCAATTAGAGTCAAGTTATTATTTGTTGTTCCTAAAACTTTGATACTTGTGTCAGGTAGTGTATATCAAGATCTCTACTTATTTAACAATGGAGCTGCCAGAATTTTATGACTACTAGAATGGCATTTATATAGTTATATTAGAGTATTTACTGCAGAAAAGGGCTTTTCTTACATAGCATTTTTTGTGTGATGTTGCTAGTCCAAATAGCAAAAAAATTCATGAATCAACAGAGCAAGGAAATTTTCACATTATGTCTGATAATATTTTTTCTTCTGGAGAAAGTCTTATTTGTTTTATTTTGGTTTGAATAAAAGCAGCTTTAATTTTTTTTAAACCCATTTTAAGGTTGATATAATTAAACCCCTTTAAACTTTATTTTTTAATGAACTATAGTCTACAGAACAAACCATCATTATACAATAGCTTGCCTAATTAACCTAACCTGCCCAGTTTACCTAATTAACCTAGTCAAGCCTTTAAATATCACGTTAAGCTGTATAGAAGTGTCTTAAAATATCTAGTAAAATAATATTTACTTTCATCATGGCAAAGATAAAATAAATCAGTTATTAGAAATCAGTTATTAAAACTATTATGTTTAGAAATGTGTTAAAAAATCTTCTCTCCATTAAACAGGAATTGGTGAAAAAAATTAACAGGGGAGCTAATAATTCAGTGGGGTTAATAATTCTGACTTCAACTGTAAGTTATATATGTTGATTACAATTGTGTACGAGTTACTAGACCAACCGCTTATTTCACTTTAGCAAGCGGGAGAGCAAATATTTTTCACAACAGTGAGAATGTTGTTTTTGAAAGTTTGAAAGACATGTCTGAAGTAAACTTATGGTTAGCTATCAGAATGCTATGTCCTCGTTAGTGGAAAGTTGCTAGGCAACGGAGGCATATCTAATCAGAGACAGAGGAAAAAGTAGCCATCAAAAGGTCAGTTTGACCTTTAAGAGCATTTCAGGTAGAAACACTCTGAACTATTTTGTAATTTTAGTAAAATTACAATGTTAGAATGAAATATACACAAGTCAAGAAAAGTCCAATTTCAAAAATGGTCAAAATGCCTCTGTAAGTCTAGTTTAGAAGCACTGATTGTGCAGATGAAAGTGAAAGAGAACAGCAGACGAGGTGCAGGGCAGTTGAGGAGGGGGATCGGTAAAATGAGGTGCCGGATCAGATGTAAGAGGTTCCGGATCTGGCATGTTCTGGCACAAATTAATCCCTGCGTGCATTCACTATGTGCAGCGAAGGGCCGTGGCCAAAGGCGCTGCAATGTTATAGCAGAGAAAGCTCAACTGACGTCCAATCGCTGCTATTTCCACAGAGCTTCTTCTGTTTCTGTTTTTGGGCTTCCAAAGGACCCAACAAAAAGAGAGAAGTGCTTACAGTTTAATTTTAATTATATTCCAGAGAATTATAAAACATATATAGCTAGCATTTGACAAAGGAGAACTTCCAGAATCTTAAACTCCTCAAAGAAGGAGCAGCTCCAACCATATTAGCAGAAGCTGTAGATTGTGAGCCACTACCTGTAAACATTTTTTTTGTTGTTGTTAAAATGTATCAACTACTGGCACAGTTTTTAGAGTTAACGGTATGTTGTAGCAAGGACGTATACAAGAATGTAAATAAAGAGAAATGCTGTTTGACAATTTAGCAACAAATTCATAACCGCTGTAAACATTAGCAGATTATGTTAACAATCAGAGCCTCTTGAGGACGAGACTTTCGGAGGAACTAGGAAATATTATGGTCATTTTCATGTCAGCTGAGTAGCAGTCTATAATTAAGGTAAGATTCATGAAAAACTTTTGTGATTTTCTACAAATGAAGCATGAGCACACATTGCTTTGCATCTTATAAACATAAGCAAGCCTTAAAAATACACTCTAGACCACCCCTTTAAAAAAATCATACTTAATGTGGTCTTTTAACAGTCCCAATTTGAAAATGTTTTTCTGTGAAGGTTGGGTTTTGGGATAGAGTTAGTGTATAATAAGCTGTATTTACAGTATAAAATACATAACATCTATAGAGAGTCCTCATAAACCACATATACAACTGTGTGCGAGTAAATTTTTGGGAAAACAAAAAACACTTTCTTAGTCTATTAGATAAAGTCAAACCAATTGACGGAAAGCACAGTTTTAAGCAAACAAATAATGTGTTTAACTGTAATCTGTTCACCAAACACGTAACTCCAACTAAATATTTTCTGCTCTCTGGATTGCTTGGCTACATTTGTCAAGAGTTTGATGTGACACTTGCAGCTTAAACCGAAATGAAGCATTAAACTAGATAAACGGATCCTTAATTGAACCCCCAGGCAGCAAATTAACATGCTACTTTTTTTAATCAAATGATATTCATTCTCATTATTTGTTTTGCCCGTGGTGTCGACCCTCCGATGCATTTGACAGTGTACGCATTCAAAAGTGGTACATCAAGTTTTATTTGACTGACTTCTTCTACCTCCAGCTTTTTTTTTCTCCCAGTCGATTTTTGTGTTTTAATGACATGCTTTTATGTATTAAGAGTCAATGGTTACCACTTTCCAGCATTTCAAGAGTTCACACTTAGCTGATAGTTTATAATAAAGCTTGTTTGGCATGCTGTCGCAGGAAAGAGCCCTGAGCTTATGAGATCCTTAAGCCCTGGGCTCCCTCCCGTTTGGAGGGTGAGAGGGGAGTTTGAGCTCAGGTAGATCTTGATGAACTCCCGACTTATTTCTGGCTAATGACAAATATAGGATGGCAGAGGAGAGATGTACGATTGCTAAGAGCTTGGCTATGGTATCAATTTGGTATGTTCAATTTACTTAGGTTGCATATTTTTGGACTGTGGGAGGAAACTGGAGAACTCTGGGAAAACCCACACAAGCACTGGGAGAATGAACAAATTCCACACAGATATGTCAACTGGTTTAGTATAGACTTAAACCAGAGACTTTCTTGCAGTGAGGCAACAGTGCTAATCACTGGGCCATCATGTTGCCCATCTGAAAAGCAGGGAGAGTAGGGGTAGGTGGGTGTGGGGTTATTCTTCAAGACGAAGATACTGAGATATGAAAACTCTGGTTATTTATAGTGAGTTAGGAATCATCTGATTGGTGAATCAATCGTGAGCTGATGCGGGACTAGCTGTGATCAATCATAAGCATCCTCTCGGAATTAGTTTATAAATAAACTTCACTTTTTAAAACATCTTCTTTAGAGCTCAACAGAAAGGTCATTTTTGGTGAACTATTCTTTTAAACACAACTCTTCAGTTTCGAAGTTAAAGTAAAGCATTTACTGGAAGGGCTTGAAAGCCTGCGAAGATAAAATTGTGGGTTGATCTATCAGCGTTTACATGTTTTCAGTGATGCAGCTCTGAACACTCCATCACTTCATGACAGCTAAATTTAGGGTTGTGTTGTCTATAAAAGTGAGTCATTCAGATCTATATTTAAAAAACAAATGTATTAGATTTTGAGAAACCAGCGGACACGTATGTTTTGAACTCATGGCTTAAACCCCCTGGGTGCCTGCTTTTCCCCTTTCCTCTTCCACATGCTGTTTTTCTTTCCTATCATGCTTTTATGTGTTGTCTTATATCTGTATAAATGCTTTCTTTTGTGTCAACATTGTTTTTTCTGCTCTTTTGTTTTCCATCTATTCTTTCTTGCATGCGCACTCTGTGTCACTGCATGGCTTGATCTGCATGCTGTAAACTGTAATGGTGATGCCGCGTAGCTTCCTGTTCCCAGATACAAGAAGGTAAGTTTCTCTTTATCACTGCTTTACAGCTGAATTTCCTCTGCCTGACCTGTCCACGCTCACTCGATTCACCCCAATATCAGGGATTAACAAATATTGACTATTAATTATAAACTTTATCCACTTGTTGAGTTGTGATGTATGGAATACTGTTTCCAGGTCTAAGCCACTACTCCCTTGAACTGAGAAAATATTCATTCATGACCCCTTTTTAATCATGTAATACATTAAAGTGATTTTTTATTTTTTTATATATATATATATATATATATATATATATATATATATATATATATATAAAATTGTGGTGTACACAACATTCTCTGGACATGCTGTATCACAGACATGAATATTTTAACAATTTATGAAAATCAATCATTTTCTGGCCCTCTGATATTAGCCATGGGTATATATACACAGTGATTCCTTGCTATATTGCAATTCGCTTTATACGGCCTCGCAGTTTCACAGATTTTTTCAGACCTCCTAATTTTTTGCGATTCCGAGATCACTGAATCCAACACACAAAATCAACAAAAAGTTGCACATTTTTGCATAATCTTTTAAATGCAAAATAATCTCAAAAAAGTAAATAAACACATAAAATGTCCTATTCCAAACCATATAATCAAATTAGATTTATTTCAGTTTGCAATTGTTTTACATGAATTATGTTTTTAAGTGTCTCTCGAGAAAAGAAAAATGATGTCTCGCATGTGCACTCACAATCATTACTTTACATGAAAGGGGAGGACATTGTTTTGCAGCCTGTGCAGTAAGCAGACACAGATGAAGCGCTAGTGATTTACATGTGAAGTCCATGTAAAGATGCGATTAGACATCCTGTGGTGCCAATTGGGTGTTGGGTGCATTTGACGCACTTTAGACTGCAAAAGAAAGTGGGAGCAAACATCTAACAAATGGAGCAATGGAACAGACAAAAAAGAAAGCAGCTTACAATAATGGAGATTGGTTCAAGGATGACGGGTGCTGAACGTGACTGAATTAAAGGACAATACTTGTGCTTTGCATGTATGGCTGGTATTAAGATCTGCATCAAATCGATAAATGATTTCATTTAACTCTTTCCATGCAATTAATGAGAGAAAACGCTTTCCTGCCATTGACGAGTTTGTTTGCAAGTTTTCTCCACACAATGTCGACGAAACATTCTGCACCATCAAAGGCACTTGACTTGTGGTAGCACCCAAAAGGCAGAGGAAGATGTTAAACATCGCACAAAAAGTTGGACTTCTAGACATACTAAAGGACTTTTTAAATGAGAGAAAAGTGTGAAAATGTTAATGACTGTCTAAGAAAAGTCTATAAAGAGCCTTGAAACATCTATAATAATTGTAAAAATAAAGTGGACTACTTTGTGTATTTCGTCTATTGCCGAACAGCTTTAGAATGTAATTCTCACGATAAACAAGGGACCACTGTATTGCGATCAGTTTTTTGAAAAGTTTTACAGCCCTTTGTAGACGTTTATGAGCCTCCCCGTACAGTTTGATTGAGCGCTTAGATCCGGAAGCTGCTTTGTGTGACGTCAAACTTAATGAGCGGATAGAAGCATTGTTTTACATACATATATATATATATATATATATATATATATATATATATATATATATATATATATATATATATATATATAATTTTTTTTTACATGTAAGTATATGTATGTATTTGCACACATATAGGACTTGAACAATGTAATTGTTACATTTAATAAAACAATAAAATACAATTTTAAAATATTCATTTATTTATATATTTTTTCTTTTTTTTTTTTTTTTTGATGTGGAGGTTAACACTTTCATTACTCATATTTCACTGTTCATATACTGTACATGAATGTTTTATGTTTTATATTATTAATAATTAATACATTTTAAATTATTTTAACCTTATATGTATTTATTTACTTATATATTTTTAGTTTTAGTAAACTTATGGTACAATGTTGTTGTTGTTTTTTTTATTTAACCAATTTTTTATATTCTACTAATTTTCACATTTATAAATAAGATTCCATTTCTTACCTTTAGATTTGTAAAACTGATTTATAACCGATATATTGTTAAAATCAAAGGTTAGTTAGTTAAATTAACATAAATTAGAATTTAAAGCAAAGACTTTAGAGTACACAAGACGTGTCACTCGTATACCTTTGAATGGGGAAAAGCATAACTGTCAAGATGGCGAATGAAGCCCCGCCTTCTAATACAGGATCCAGTCGCTATATGGCGAATAAAGCCCACCTTCTAGTACAGGATCCAATCAGCGATTGCTATAGAATGACAATTCTCGGTGGGAGGGGATCAGACCAGATGTTAGTTTCTGTAGACTTTGTGTGATACAAACACTTAGAAATGAATCTAAATAGACAGTTAGTGTTTAATTTTATTGGTCATTCGTAATATGAAATGTAATTGTAAGCTTGGCAAGTAGTTTTGAAGAATTTGATGTTTTCCCATTCAAACTGAATCCCGAGCATACTGCCCGAGAGGCGTTTCAAAGATGGCCGCAGAGTGAAATGACTTGCCTTAAAGGGACTTTGTTTAAAGATAACGATTAATAAATACGGTATCAAATGTATTACTCGTTATTAGCAACTAATGCATTTACATTTACATTTACATTTAGTCATTTAGCAGACGCTTTTATCCAAAGCGACTTACAAATGAGGACAAGGAAGCAATTTACACAACTAAGAGCAACAATGAATAAGTACTAAAGGCAAGTTTCAGGTCTGTAAAGTCTAAGAAGGGAAGTGTTAGTAGTTTTTTTTTTTTTGTTGTTTTTTTTTTTTTTTTTTTTTGGGACTAATGTGTAGAATAACAGCTTTTACATTCAATATTTTCCGTGTACCCAGCTCTCTCTTTAGTGTGTTTTTCTATATATATTACATCAAACATACACTAGCCCCATTGCCTTATTTTGTATGATTTTCTTCTTTTAATCTCTCATTTTTAATACTCTGATTTTGTTTTTCTGTTAACTTTTATTCATTGAATACCCCATTTATGTGATGGTAGTGGTTGAATTAGTTTACACTCACCGGTCACTTTATTAGGTATACCTTACTAATACTGAGTTGGACCTCCTTTTGCACTCAGAACTGCTTTAATCCTTCGTGGCATAGATTCAACAAGGAACTGGAAATATTCCTTAGGGATTATGGTCCATATTGACGTGATAGAATCACGCAGTTGCTGCAGATTTGTCAGCTGCACATCCGTGATGTGAACCTACCATTCCACCACATCACAAAGTGCTCTATTGGTTTGAGTTCTGGCGACTGTGGAGGCCATTTGTGTACAGTGAACTTTATCATCCGGATGTCGCAGCAGAAATCAAGACTAATTAGACCAGGCAACGTTCAACCTTCTATTGTCCAATTTTAGTGCCTGTGTGAATTGTTGCCTCAGTTTCCTGTCCTCCGCTGACAGGAGTGGCATTCGAAGTGGTCTTCTGCTGCTGTAGCTTATCCGGCTCAAGGTTCGATGTGTTGTATATTAAGAGATTCTCTTCTGCATATCTCGGTTGTAACGAGTGGTTATTTGAGTTACTGTTGCCTTTCTATCAGCTGGAATCAATCTGGCCATTCTCCTCTATCCTCTGGCATCCACAAGGCATTTGCGCCCACAGAACTTCCGCTCACTGGATATTTTCTCTTTTTCAGACCTTTTTCTGTGAACCCTAGAGATAGTTGTGCTTGAAAATCCCAGTAGATCAGCAGTTTCTGAAAAACCCAGATCAGCCCATCTGGCACCAACAACCATGCCACATTCAAAGTCACTTAAATCACCTTTCTTTTCTAAACTGATGCTTGGTTTGATGTGCAGCAGATCATCCTGACCATGTCTACATGCCTAAATGCAATGAGTTGCTGCCATGAGATTGGCTGATTAGAAGTTTGTGATAACGAGCATTAACGGATAGGTCTACCTAATAAAGTGGCCAGTGAGTATATGACATTATATTGTCTATTATTAAAAATAGAAAAAATTAAACAAAAAACATCAGTTCTGTGAATTATCACACGCTGGCGTGCATTTGTCCTCTACTGTTGGCATCTTTCCTTTTTGTTGGCTCACTCATTGTTCCACCGGCAAGACAGATTAATTTCAATTAAGATTAAGTGCTTGCCCATGTGCAGATGTAAGCATAATCTTTATTAATGGCCTTTTATTAAGTATTTATGATGAATAATTAATCTCAGTCTGGTTGATTTCTGTTAGTATGTAAAGCTACATTTGTCTCCGGAATGGTAATTTCTCTCAGTAAAATACAGAACCTGTGTGTGTGTCAGTCATTTGTTCAGATGTGAGTAGGTGTGTGTTTATATGCATATGCTCTTCAGTACAGCCAGGTCTCGCCCCCATACATACATTCATGACTGAAGAATAGGATGAATTCATTGCTTTCGCACCCTTGTGGCTAATAATTTATCTCTGTGTCTGACACGGAGCAAAGCAGCTGTCTGTGCACGACCATAAATCATGTGGAAAGAGAATGAAAGTGTGTGTGTGGGTGTGCCTGCGGTTCAGATATTCCCTACAGTGTGATAGCAAAATGTCCCAATAAGGATAGTAATACCCTGATTTAATGAAGAGTGCAGGTTTTTTGTGAGGGTTGTGTTCAAAAGTCAGGTTATAGGACAGAATATATTGTTTATAGAGTTTAAAAAGCATTGTGTCTATGGAAAGGCAAATCCTTCTGTGTGTGTGTGTACTTCTGTTAATATGCATTACCTACTGTATGACTAGGCCCACACGGAATCTGCGCGCACAGAATTCCACAGATTTTCCGCAGAATTCCGCAGATTTCTGCAGTTTTTTAGCCCATTATAAATTCTGTTTATTTACTTGAGTAAATGTGTAAATCAGAATTTATTCTGTTTTTATTCAGTAATTTATTACTTTTTATTTAATATATTAAAGTGTAACTTATGATACTCCGCTGGATACTCTCAAAACAATTCTGCAGATTTT